CTTCGGCTCGTGATTTCGCTCGCTTTTCTTAACTCTCGCAACATTCCCGCGTGTTTGGATCAGGCCATCCAAACACGGAAACCATAAAGTAATTGTATATTGGTTTTTTGACAGTATTAGAACCCGCATTTGCAGGTCTGAAATCTACAACTTTTCGAACATCGTGAAAAACAAACAGTTCTGATTGGCTATCGTTAATCACATGCGTTCTCTTGTTGGTCAAACAAAACGAAAGTGCTTTCAAGCAGAATGTAAACAAAGATTTTCGCTCGCGCAGACATGCGGAACACTTGAAAGGACTGCTTGAAAGGATTTGTTTTAATTGTTTAGGCTATAAAGAGAACGCAAGTAATAAATGATAACCATTCACAACTGTTTATTTGTCTCGAGATTCGAAAATACCAGCAAATGCGGGAAATAATATTGTCTAAAAACACTAATATTTTAATACATTGAGCGAATGTTATATAGAACGTGTTTGTTCGCATTTCACTGTGAGTTTATTTGGATTAACTGAAAAAAAATATGTTGCAGTAATACTTTGATTTCCTGTATTGCCACAATTAAATTTTTAGAATGTAAACAATTAATTAATATCTAATAATTGGTAAAACAATAAACAGAGGAAAATAATAACATTGGTGGCACAACCTGTATCTATGAAAATATTATAGGATGAAAAAAAGCAATTTTAGCAAAATACTTATACTGAAATTTGACAATGATCGTTGGGGCACAATATCACTCAAAAACCAAACATGTTTATACACAATGTTCTGGACAACAAACAGAACTACTACTGCATGCATATTTCATTCATATTACGTAAGTTGATCATTCTTTATGAACATTAGCAGATATTTATCATTCAGACTTAATTAACTAAATTCGAAACTTTAATAATTTTTTTCGCCTTATTTTTTCAGAGACCTCTATGGGTTTTGATATGAAAGCTCAATTCGGGAGTAACCCGGAATATACTAAAGCCGTATTCAGGTATTGTGCGATGTACTTTTTGCACATTTAAATCATTTTAATAGATACATGAAAAAAAATACTCAATTCTGATTGGCTGTAAGAGTAACGCAATTTTTATTAAAACTTTCTTTTTCATGGCAGTTAAAAATTAAATTGTTGCTTGAAGTTACTATGTACTTCGCATTGACTGTGGATTTGCTTCTGCGTTACTTCCTGTATATTATTAATAAGTAATAGACAAGTGTGGAAAAGTCATCGTCTTTGATCGTCTTTGAAAATTCACTCATGCATATTTTCCAAATGGCTCTGCAAACCATACTATTACATAATACAGTATACTAATATACATTTTACGAAATAGATTTTCCTAAGAAAATAGCGCATAATAATTCGCAAAATATCGTATTCATAGTGCATGAGCATTATCTCGCAAGATATGAAACACTTGCTTGTTTTCTCTACAATGTTTCCACTTATCATCTTAATGTTAGATTTGTTTTCATACTATCATCATATACCCTTTAACTTCTCTTCCATTGTTTTGTCGCTATAGCATGTGCGAACTTATTCAAGAACGTCAAAAATGTCCATGGCTATGGCCAGATACAATTTTTAACATGACGTCTTCGGGAAGAAAGCACAAAAAAGCTCTGGATATTCTCCATGGTTTTACAAACAAGGTACGTTTTAGGAAGAAAGATTTTGAAATCCTTTGTCACAAAATATAATGCTAATATATGGCATGCAATAGTTATTGCGAAGACAAGTTATACATTAGTAATGCACAAAATATTTAATTTAAACAATTTCATGCAATAAAATTATATGAATATTTATTTATCTATTTTAATTAAACTTCACTTAATGATGCTATCCCCTTGACTAAAAGCTGGTTTCAATGGGCGGACTAAAAGCTGGTTTCAAGGGGAGGGCGTCCGGTCTAAAGTTGGGAGGGGAGGGCGAAGTCTAAAGTTTATCAATAATCGCGGGCGCGTGACTATTGGTCATGGGTGAGTGCATGGACCTCACTGATCTCAGAAATATAGCTGTTTGCCAGAAGTGGGATAAGAAAGATTTCAAATTTCAAAAACTTATATTTGGACAATCACGTTTGCACACAATGGGCTTTGACGCAATTTTTGTTTGAAGAAATGAGAAGAATTGATTTAGTATGGGAAATCGTGAGACATCGGGGTTTTGCTTTGAATGTTTATGAATTTTGTTGAGCACTTTGATTTCCTGCGTAAAACATTCAGCTTTCCTTTTCTTTTTCAATGAAGCTGTAAGTTCCCTAAATTACCCTGTTTAATTTTTAAAAAAAGTAAAACAATTTGAACTTATTTTGTTTAAATTGTTTTATTAAACAGCTTATCGGAAAAAGCAGTTTAGTTATAGTGAACATTTCAAAACATTTTACGCAGCATTTCAGATGGAATTTTCGATCAAAGGGCAAATTAACATATACCTACAGTACATATTTCAGAAATTCATTGTTGTATAGTTAAAAGTAGTAGTCTTTTTAAACGATTTTTCCGTTTTGTACAAGAAATATTAAAAAAATGAAATTTAAAAATACCGTGTTTTCATGGCAACACACAACGCCACAACGCGAGCCTGCGTTCAGTGTTGGCCAATTATGAATACTTCATGTTAAATCAGTGTTTTGAAAATATATAGGCGATCGGATTATACTGCATGCATGCATTTCTAGTTTAAGTGATAAATATAAGGTTGCGGTGTGACGCATTTTTAAAGACATAATTCGATGGAGGCTGCAACATCAGCCGGAAGTACAGTACATTTCATTACTTAACTCTGTATTTGAACGGGGTTTTTTTAGAAATTCTCTTTTCGGCATTGGGAGTCAAATATTTATCCCCGAGCCGGCGGCGCGAAGCGCCGTGCGAGGGTACTAATTCCGCACGGGTAATTATACCCGGGTATGTGAAAACATAGCGGAGTGCAAAGTTGTCCTCCATTTTGTTTATGTCATGGACGGTTTTCGACGTTATGCGCGTGCGCGAGTACAAATTCTGTCGACTCGAAGTAATTGTTTTTCATTTTGAAAGGACGTATTTTGCTGTTTTACAGCAATTTTTTGCTTTAAATTTTGTTAAAACGTTTATAAAAGTACAACACGACTTTTTCTCGATTTTAACTGATAATAATTGTTTTGATGTTTTGATGTTGATGTCTTTGATAATTTAATCGTTGTTGTGCCGGTTGTAAACATTTCAGTAGTAAAATTCCATGCCATACTTGCTTTGTGTTGTCGGTTTTATTCATATCTGCGAAATTTTTAAGCCATTCTTAACTCGATAATTCACTTTTAATAATGCAATCTGGTACGCATGAAATTGCAGTGAATGTTATCGTTCATTAATATAAAGCTAGCGCATCAGTTGTGTTTTTATGTTTGTTTATAATGGTCTTAATACTTTATTTGCAGTTTTTATACTTCATCTGTTAAGAAAGGCGAGGGGTTGCTGCATGCATGTATTTTCTAGTTTTGTTATTTCTGAGATGATATGCGCTGTTTGCATACTCGAAGCAAAAATTTGTTTCAAATTGGGAGCGGTGTGGTTATTAATGATTTTATAAAGAAAGATACAGATTTGTGCAGGTCACGTTTTACATTAAGAGATTTCCAAGGTCCTCCGCAGATCTGATTTCACAATTGGCTCCAGCTATTATTCTTGCTGCACGGTTCTGGAAACTCTGGAACATAGTCAAAATAAGATTGAATTAGAGCTCTCTATACAGTTTGCAAGGCTAATATATTTATAGCAGATCAATAATTGTCATTCAGAAACGTAAGTAATTCAACACACTTATTATACCGAGATGTTAATCCAAACATTGTATTTTTATTGAAGGTAATCAATGACCGTATTGAACAACGGAAAGAGCATCAAGACACAAACGAAGATGCTTCAGATGTCACGGCGATATATTCATCCAGTAATCGTCGTATCCGAGCATTCTTAGATCTCTTGCTGGGAGAATATGATCAAGGAAATATAACGAAGGAAGGAGTGAGGGAGGAGGTCGATACTTTCATGTTTGAGGTAGGAACTTCAATTTTCATGAAATGATCCACTTTCTCTTGACTTAGTAAAATAAAGATTACATTCCAACCGCTCACTGTTTACAATTATAACCTTTAAGGTTTATACTTGCAATTTTTGCTGCAATTTTAGGTGCGATTTTCCTCTCCTGATGTATGTGAACGAGTAGATGAGTTATGAATGTTCACATGTGGTCCAATTATATTACTCAGAACATTGCTAACTTATTTACTCGTTCACATCCATCAGAAGAAGATAATCAGACTAGAAATCGCTGCATTTTAAACCTACAGTTTTATCTTCCTAGCACCCTTTATCTCGTAACGACTTACATCCAATGCAGAAAAATGGATTTTACATTAAATCGAAGCTTATTCAATACTAAATAACTACGATAAAACGACATTATTGATATTGACAATCAAAAAATGATTGTGTGTAGTTTGTCATTTGGTAAGAAAATGTGTGATTTTCATATTACTGTGGCAACCACAATGTTTGCAGCTGATGAAATACTGCATGTTGAAACAATTATGCGCGTCAAAGCGATAAAAGAGGGCGACGCATTGCTGCATGCATGTAATTCTACAGTGGTTATACCTCAATACCTGAGTTTATTCTATTAAGTCCCAGAAAGTCGCAAATACTGTATCACAGCACAAATTTACACTTCCAGGGTCACGATACAACAGCAGCATCATTGCAATGGGTTATCCATCTTGTTGGCCACCACCCTGACGTTCAATCTCGGTTACAAAAGGAAGTGGACAGTTTTTTTGGTAAGTAAAGTTGAAGGTCAAATCAAATTGGAAACCTATTCAAAATTAGCTTTGTGTCATCAGATGCGATCACATGTAATTTGATTTTGTCCTCGTGTCGATTTGTTAGTGTTTTAATACTAACTTATGTTACCCCACCGAAAAGTACAAACAAGAAAGCTTTAATTATATCCTAAAATGAAAATAAGACAGGCCGATGTTAGTCAACGGCAACTGACCAGATTTTGATTCAATTATACGAATATGGATGAGCAATGATTCGAGGGCATTGTGTAAGCAATGAAATATCTGATTAATACAGACTGAAATATCTGAATAAGATAGTACTATTCTTAAAAGACTATCGTTTTTAACAGAATCTATACCGGTCGATGGAAATATAAAGCCAGATCAACTCAAGGATTTAAATTTTCTCGAATGTGTGGTGAAGGTATGTTTCATTCCTATATAAGGCGTAATTCCGTAGCTAGGGTAGTAAATTACGCCCAGGTACTGTATTTACACCTGGGTTAACGGAAGGGAGCTAAAAGGGTCTAAAAGTCGTCGATTACCGCGGGCGTGTGGCTATGTTATCATTGGCGGACCTTCCACTGACATAAAAAATATGGCGGAATGAGGCGATGTAGGTGGAATGAGGCGATAGAGGGGATAGTGAGGAGTGGAATGAGGGGATAGGACGGATAGTGAGGAGTGGAATGAGGGGATGGGCTTACTTGATATGAGGTGCGCAACCTCGTTTCCTCCACAATTATTTAAGAAATATATGATTCCCACAAATAATAAAATTTCACATACATGAAAGTCCCTTGGTCGAAGCAAGGAAAGATAAATTTGTGGTTTTGATCAACATCTTGTCTGTCTTACTCTTTCAACACAGTCTAAATTGCAATAGAAAATACGCCAATAATACGCCTTAGTATACATTTTGCATATCAATTGAGCTTCCGCGCGTTCTGATTGGCTAGTTGACTAGTAAATCTGACGCATTATTTACTAACAGACTAGTAAATAATGCTTTTCAAAAAGAATGAATCTGCAAATTTGGTTTCAAAATCGACAAAATATTGAAAAAATCGTCCCAGAAAAGGAAAAAAGCACAAAATGTTGTATTTAAATCGAAAGGAAGGATTTCTTTATTATTTAATTGTGTCAAACATATTCACAGACAATTTAAAACTTATTTAAAACTCCGAAACATTTTCTTCAAACAAATAGCAAAAACTATCCCGACTGTTGGGAAAAGCCGTGACAATATTTTTAAAACAATTTTCTTTTCTATCCTATTAATATCTCAATTTGTACGATACTATTACTTTTGATATGTCGTGTTTTCATTGTGCTGCATGTATGGTGTCTTGACGCTGTATTGTACTATTGTGTTTTTGAAACTTGTAAAGTGAAAAGTGTATTAAAACTTTTATATTTGGAACGACATATAGTTTTACATTTCATTTTACCAAATTTCTCAGCCATTTCCTGAACAAATTAATGTTAAACAGAAACTATTTTTTAAATCTCAGTCTGGTGAAAAAGTAATTCCATCATTGTGTTTATATTCTAAGCACTAACATCGAAAAAAAACCCAACTTTGGAATAAAGCAATAAAGTCACAGGCTCAGTGATTGCGGTGAATATTCACCTCGACTTCGTCACGGTGAATATTCACCGGTAATCACTTCGCCTTCGGCGAATAATTGTCCCCGAGCCGGCGGCGCGAAGCGCCGTGCGAGGGTACTAATTCCCCCCGGCTATTTACACCCGGGGAAACGAAAGCATTAGGGAAGTCTGAAGTTCATCAAATATCGCGGGCGTGGGTCACTGTGCGTGTTTCGGTGGGTGGTCATCTTCACTGATCTAAAAAATATGGCGGACTGTCATGAATAGCGAACACTGATTGGTCAAATTTAAAATTTGTTGTTGTACGACGAATGACGACTTCAACTGACAGATACTTCATGAAAATATTTTGCTTTTTGCACTGCAATATTTTGTACGTTTGCAAAAAACTTTGACAGCTTTCAAAGCAATTTGTTCTATAAAAAGTTTAATAAAACAATTACGGTATCAAATACCAATTGAAAAGATATGGACTACTGTATGGAGCCAAATGAAGAGCGGCAAGGAAACGACAAGAAAGCCGAACGTCTAGCGAAAAGGAGGGAGCTAGCGAAGACGACAACGTTTGCTCGAGGAGACTGCTGAGGAAAGAGAAGCTCGCCTGGGAAAGCGTAGAGAAGCATGGAAAAAAAGACTGCTGAAGCGAAAGGTAAGCAAAGGCTTGTCTTCACAACGCTATGTACCAATGATACTGTAGCTATATATACAAGTTGAAGTATGATATTCGACCCTCTATATTCGACTATTTCTTCACAATTTTCCAATAAAGAGTTTGTCATGACACGCTCAAGTCAGTATAACCAGACTGTATTTTATTTATATCAGTTATCACAGCCACAGGCAATTTTATGCTGTCAAATACCGTCGGTTGCAACTAAAGGTGAACAGTTGCAACTAAAGGTGAACAGTTGCAGATAAAACATTCTCTATTCTCATTAAAAGGCCTGTAAAAGTTTCCAGTAAGTCTCTAGCCCAACACGTTCAGACCACACAAAGTTTTGTTACTTATTATTGTCCACTGTACACATGGGAAACAACAATTAAGTGTTGTTGTTCTTGACAAACATTGAAGATTCTAATCACGCGAATGTTTTTATGAGCAACTGTTCATCGTTAGTTGCAAGCGACGGTACAAACATTTTTCCGACTGTGACCGAATGTGCAACGATATATTTTTCAAAGTTGTTGTCAATTCCTAAAATTTGTTTATAGTAAAACGGCCTGCTCAGCACTCACTACTCACGATGATTTCATTTAGAAATGCAGTTACCAGGAAAGGAACTGATTCTAAAATATGTAAATTTAAAAGCATTGGCTAACAGAATAAAGCGATGTGAAGACAAGGTACAAACTTTTATAGTTGCTATGTGTTATAAAATCCTATAAATAAACCGATTCAACAATAATATTGCCTCGAATTTGCATATTCTATGCCGCATGTTTATATTTTATTTTTATAGTATAAAAATAAAATTGTAATACTATGAAATAAAATACATTTCTATTTATTGACCAGTACTTATTTAATGTCTTCTTCATCCAGTGGTCAGAGTAAATTTCTACTTCTAGCAAGTAAATATTTGACAAGCAGTCTGGAATAAGCACAGGAATAAGCACAATGAGCCATTTTATAGTAGCAATATGAAAAGTTTTTTTCTTTTTCCATGACTTTTAATGCATCAGCCAAATCCAAGTGTGCCCATCCCCCTCGCCCAGCCATTTTCCTGTAAAGCACATCCCGGGGGTTGGGTATTTCCACTCGAACCTTAGCCCCGGCGGGGCATTTGAAATTAATAATTTCGATTCTTGCACTTCACTTGGTGGAATTAATATTAGAATGTTAGGGTTTGTAATCCAAGTGAGAATATATACATGTATATATTTTGTAATCCAAGTGAGAATATTTTGTAATCCAAGTGAGAATATACAAATGTATAGTACATGTATATATTTTGTGTATATATTTTGTAATCCAAATGAGAATAGTTTGTAATCCAAGTGAGAATATACAAATGTATATATTCTCACTTGGATTACAAACCCTAACATTCTAATTATTAATTCCACCAAGTGAAGTGCAAGAATCCAAATTATTGAAGTCCACCTTATCACACCCGCACACCCGATAACCTAAATATACATGAACTTACGGTTAAAGCTCAACAGCTGGCCTCTGTAGCTCAGTTGGTTAGAGCGCTGCACCGGAATCGCAGGGCCGTAGGTTCAATTCCTACCAGAGGACCTTGTGCTGCATTTTTCGCAGTCGTTCCTGGTTAGGTCTTAAAATGTATATATTCTCACTTGGATTACAAACCCTAACATTCTAATATTAATTCCACCAAGTGAAGTGCAAGAATCCAAATTATTGAAGTCCACCTTATCACAACCCGCACACCCGATTACCTAAATATACATGAACTTACGGTTAAAGCTCAACAGCTGGCCTCTGTAGCTCAGTTGGTTAGAGCGCTGCACCGGAATTGCAGGGCCGTAGGTTCAATTCCTACCAGAGGACCTTGTGCTGCATTTTTCGCAGTCGTTCCTTGTTAGGTCTTAAAATGTATATATTCTCACTTGGATTACAAACCCTAACATTCTAATATTAATTCCACCAAGTGAAGTGCAAGAATCCAAATTATTGAAGTCCACCTTATCACAACCCGCACACCCGATTACCTAAATATACATGAACTTACGGTTAAAGCTCAACAGCTGGCCTCTGTAGCTCAGTTGGTTAGAGCACTGCAGCGGAATCGCAGGGCCGTAGGTTCAATTCCTACCAGAGGACCTTGTGCTGCATTTTTTGCAGTCGTTCCTGGTTAGGTCTTAAAATGTATATATTCTCACTTGGATTACAAACCCTAACATTCTAATATTAATTCCAACAAGTGAAGTGCAAGAATCCAAATTATTGAAGTCCACCTTATCACAACCCGCACACCCGATTACCTAAATATACATGAACTTACGGTTAAAGCTCAACAGCTGGACTCTGTAGCTCAGTTGGTTAGAGCGCTGCACCGGAATCGCAGGGCCGTAGGTTCAATTCCTACCAGAGGACCTTGTGCTGCATTTTTTGCAGTCGTTCCTGGTTAGGTCTTAAAATGTATATATTCTCACTTGGATTACAAACCCTAACATTCTAACATTTGAAATTAAGGATTTGGAGGTTTTGCGATCACTGATAACTTGATAATAATATAAAACAAAACACTTCTATCTGCAACTTTTACTATCACTGATAACTTGATAATAATTTAAACCAGTCAAGTTGTAGTTTAAATGAGAATAATACATGGGTGCACGAAATACCAGATTTATTTCGAGTGTTGAACATGAGTGCGGAGCGAACAAGTGAGCGCATCGAACGAGTGAGATGTCATGTTCAACACGAAAAATAAATCTGGTATTTCCAACCACCCATGTATTTTTCTGTTTATTATATAAAGGACAGTCTTTGAAAAGCGATAATTTTTACAGAAAAGCGATAATTGAAAAGGCGATAATTTTCACATGTGAGATTATCATGAATAATTTCACATGTAAGATTATCATTTTTATCAGTGCTCGAAATCTCTTTAAAATACTCATTAATAATTCATAAACCTTGTGGCAAACATGTCAGCCATAATATGTCACGTGGAGTGACTTTATATCTGATAAAACACATGTGGCATTATATAATTGTTCATCTTAATTAGCATGATTATACTATGGTTCATCCTAATTAGTAGTCTTTTGTAGTCGTATTTTAAGCTATTCAAAACACTCGTTGTCGTGTTTTATCAGATATATAACGCTCGGCTGCACTCCTACTCGTGTTTTAAATAGTACATAAAACACTATACTTTATATGATAAAAATTCATAAATTTGAACCACGCTAGACCATGACAACAGCAAAATGCTCTATAGTATGATGCACAAAATTTTGGGAGATGAAATACACGAACAATAAATCAGAGAGTGTTTGCGTGAATGCGTGAAACTCACTGGTGGGGGGGGGTGCAACACCCCTGATAATTGCTCATGAGGAATTTCAGGTAGATTTCCAGTGCACTTTTAGGTAAATTTAAGTAGATTTGCAGAAGATTTTCAGGGGAATTCAGGTAATTCTCAGGACATGAGAAAGTGAATTTGGAAAACAACTGTATTTTCGGAAAAATTATTATATGTCCTGAAAATTTTTTGTACATCTGGAAACATTTTGGTAACCACCCCCCCCCCCTCTATCTAACCTCACACACCCCCTGAGACGAAGTGCTAGCAACGGCACTGAGTATACATCTTTTGAAAACAGGCGAGGGGTTATTGCATGCATGTATTTCTAGTTACTTGCCTTATTTCAATATAGTTTGTAAACTCTGAAGTTAAGGGTAGAACTTGCCAATAGGCAATAATCCAATAATATATAAATATACGTTTCAAAAAAGCAAAAAAGACAAGAAAGCTTTTAGTTTTGCAGAGTTACATTCTCAAATGTTTAAGGCATGCACAAATAAAATCAAAGTATCATGAAATTATTTCAATAAACCACACCACATATACAATGCAATTTTCTTTGCGGAAGTGAAGAATCAAGATTACATCACTGACACAGAAAGTTGACGATTCAACGGACAATAGTCAATACGCTTCCCAACAAATTCCATGGATTTTTTACTAATCCTATTACTGTGGCGGCTATTGTTAACACTCGTATTGATAAAATTTGCAAGCGATTGTTTTTATAATATGTTATGTGAATGTAAACTGCCAGAAGAATACGACAACATGATTTTATGCGATCTCTGTGATGGTTCCACTTTAGATGTGTAGAATATGACACTAGTCTAAGTACCTCAAATTACTCGGTTATGCAGACTGCGCACACCACCAGCTGCTAAGAAGCCTAAAATGTGTATGTGATTTTGTCTCCTTGTAATAAATAAATAAATCACACAATAAATCTTTTCAACTTGCAATCGTTTGGTTTTTAGATAAAAAATTCAAAATTTATATGGGGGGGCGAAATTCCTAAAGGGGGGCGATATTCCTAGGAGATTCGCCCCCCAGGGGGCGATATTCCTAGGAGATTCGCCCCGGGGGGGCGAATATCCTAGGAATATCGCACCCCTTTTGAGAGGGGGGGCGAATCTCCTGGGGGGGGCAAATCTCCTGTGACAACGGCAGACAAATTGACTGATTGAGAACCCTACGCCAAACTCAGATACAACGTTAAATTCGCCTCATATACAGCCAAACTCCGAATATGATTTTGGTTTACTTGATAATCTAATTCCTAATGAGCGTGGCTTCAAAATTGCTAATCTCAATATTAATAGCCTTTTAAAACATATAGACGAATTACGAGTATGCATGACTAAACAACAACTAGATATTTTAGCAATCAATGAAACTAAAATGGATTCTGATGTACCCCTAGATTTAATTTCCCTGGAGGGCTATACCTGGGTTTTTAAGAATAGGAATAGATCTGGTGGGGGTGTTGGTTTCTACATACGAAATACAATTAACTTTTTGATAAGACCTGACTTGGGTCATCATGATATTGAAGCTCTTACGATAGAAATTCATAAATATAAAACCAAACCTTTTCTAGTTTCAACGTGGTACAGGCCACCTAATTCACCCATTGACTTGCTAACAAAATTCGAAAACATTCTACGGCTTATTGATACGGAAGAGAAAGAGAGCATTATCCTGGGTGATATAAATTGTGATCTATTACACAAAAATCTAGATCATATGACGAAAGAACTCAATTTCATTACTAATTTATATCAATACAAACAATTGATAGACGAACCTACAACCTACAAGGGAAACTATGAATTCGGTATCTTTAATTGACCATTTCTATACCAATAAAAAGGAAAATATTATATTAGCAGGAGTCTCCAAAATAACGATTAGTGACCATTATTTAATATATGGCATTTTGTCATTCCCATCGTTAAAAGGAGAGGAACATATTTTAGAGTTCCGTGATTTCAAAAATTTCAATGAAGATAATTTCCTACGCGATATAGCATCGTCCGAAAACCATAATTTGGATTCATACACGGATTCCAACCGAATGTGGTATATTTGGAAAAATAAATTTACTGAAATTATTGATAAACATGCACCACTTAAAACCCGTAAAATTGGTAAGAAGCGTACCCCTTGGATTACGAAACAAGTACTTCATAGTAAGCGAAATAAGAACTTATTAAAGAAAAAGGCCTTGAAATCTAAAAATTAAAATGACTGGCAAATCTTCAAATCAGCTAGAAATTCTTATAACAAATTAATTAAGTCGTCCATTCGCCATCATTATAGTGTTGAGATTAGGGATAATCAAGGAAATACTAAGAACATGTGGAAAACTATTAATAACTTGATTCATAAATCAAAAAATCTCAAAATATAACTGAGATCCGTAACGAGAATGGTGAAATGGTTAATATTCCAGGCATACCTAATGCATTTAATAATCATTTCACTGATCTTGGTTTCGTTCTTTCCCAAAACATCAAGTTGCTCTATTCCACCAGAGAGTTATATCAGTGAATCAATGCAGGAATTTATTTTCTGTGAAATAACTGAACAGGAAGTTTGCCAGTTATTATCATCATTATCATCTACTAAGGCATCGGGCCTAGATGGATTACCAGCAAAACTTATTAAACTGGCCTCACCTTACATTGCTAAATCGCTGACAACAATATTTAATAGGTCTATATCCACCGGCATATTTCCATGTGAGTGGAAAAATGCAAGAGTCACCCCAATTTACAAAAGTGGCCCTAAATCTAATATGGATAATTATCGACCTATATCTATTATTTCGGTAATTGCCAAAACAATGGAGAAACTCGTACATAACCAGGTCTATTCCTATTTACAACGGGCAAACATACTAACTAATGCACAACATGGCTTTAGACCTCTCCACTCCACTGTTACTGCATTGTTAAAAATGACAAACCATTGGTATCAAAATATGGATGAAGGGTTAATCAATGGAGTTGTCTTTTTAGATCTAAAAAAGCATTTGATACCGTTGACCATGGTATTTTATTAAAAAAAATATATTTGTATGGAGTGAGAGGAAAGGCGCATGACTGGTTTAGGTCCTATCTGTCTAATCGTACCCAGTATTGTCAAGTTAATGGCAAACTGTCTGAACCACGAACAATAATTACTGGTATTCCGCAGGGCTCAATTCTTGGACCCTTACTCTTTCTTGTTTACATAAATGACTTGCCAAATTGCTTAAAAAGTGCGGATTGTGACATGTTTGCTAATGATACTCAATTAGGAACGGCAAATAAGGATGTCAAAGTAATTTTTGAAACGTTAAATGATGACCTAGCAAATATTTCAGTTTGGATGGCGGCCAACAAGCTGAGCCTGAACAAAAGCAAAACTGAATATATGTTTATTGGATCACATCAAAAACTTAAACAGTGTAACTCCGAATTGCAAATAAAAATTGGAGATACGCCTATTCAACGAGTAACCGTTACTAAATCACTGGGTATGATGGTAGATGAGACCTTAACCTGGCATTCTCAAACAGATCTAATTACAAAGAAAGTGAACAAGGGTCTTTACGTCCTTAGACGATTAAGAGATTTTGTTGATGTAAGGACTCTAGTAACAGTTTACAAAACTTTAATTCAACCACACTTTGATTACTGCTCGCAAGTATGGGGTTGTCTTGGAATTACCCTTCAAAACCAGTTGCAACGTTTACAAAATAGAGCAGCACGTATCATTACAAAGCGTGGGTATGAATTTAGATCAGCCGATATACTTAAAGAATTAGATTTACCTAATTTAAGTCTCAGAAGAAATAATCAATTATGTACTACTATGTATCAGGTAAATAATAATATGGTGCCTGATTACCTAATTGATTTATTCACGAAAACCAGTACACTTCATAATCATCAAACTAGGCAGGCTGAATTTAACTTTGCACTCCCGAGGCCAAGTACCAACTTTTGTAAAAAATCATTCTCGTACAGAGGAGCTGTAGCTTGGAATGATTTATTACCTAATATAAAAAATATGGGTTCATTGTCAACCTTCAAAAGGGCTCTAGTGTCAAATAGTCGTAATAATTCTTGATAATCAATTTATCTTTTTTCTTTTTCTCTTCGATTTTATTGTATTATATTGTATTTATATTTGTATTTGTATTTATATTTATTTTTTTGTATTTATATTGTATTATATTGTATTTTATTGTATTTTATTTATTTTTACTTTTATTTATTCAAGATCTTGGGCACAGTTTTTCTCATCCGGACCTCGCAGCCAGTAAATAACATATATAGGCTCGGGCCGTTTTCAAGACCTTGGGCACAGTTTTTCTCATCCGGACCTCGCAGCCGGTAAATAACATATATATATCATGGTTCAATTGTATTTTCTTTATGGCATGCATGCACCTTTGGTAGTAGATACAGACTACATTATATGGGCAGACATACATGTAGGACGTATATTTGACAGTCCAAATTCAACTTTCAATTGACTGAAAATGCATCGAATTACGAGGGGTTTTATTGTTTTCATAATTTATTCACCCATTTATTATAATGTAGGGTATTGAAAGGGTTAATTGATTACATACACTAGAGCTAATGTTTGTTAAATCCTGGCGAACAGAAAATGGTTGTGATTCTGTTGTTGTAGATTGCATATCACCAGTTGTCTACAAATAAAGAATCAATGATTAATTAATTTATAGTTACACACAAGTTATTGTAAAATATGTGGTTTCGTGGTATGGTTGCAGGCCTCTAGATATTCGGCTACCACATAATATGCTAAATGCTGGTCCTTCAAAAATCGAGGAAACCACACTAGCTACTATATTAGCTGCCAAGATTACTAACATTTTAGGGTTTAGACTGGGCACAGGCGAAGCAGACCTATGACCGATCACATAGCTAATGATCTATAACGCAAAGTTATCAATAGCAGCCTGAATAGACATTTCATTATGACTAATTTTGAAAAAATGTATTTGCTGCGAAATGTTGTAAAATGCGAAAAATATGGGCTTGCAAAATTTGCAAGTTTTGTAACTTTTGTATTTCGTACGGAAATTGTTACCATTTTCGGCCTAGATCAAGATTTTGTCGATAAGTATTTGAGTATCTTGGGGCAAATATTTTTAAAAGATGTTTTAAATTTAGGTTGTTTGGTATTGTTTTTGTTTTATTTTAGTGCATGGGGATCAAGCAAGAAGCTTGTCAGGCTATGTCACATTAAAACTCTGTCAGTTTGTTGCGGTTTACACCATTCTCTATCCAACAACTGACATGGCCTATATGCTCCTTTCCGGTTTACTTCTTGTCCTGGTTCTATTGTATATGTACCCAATTGGAATAATACTCGCTTAGCTATCCTAACCAGAATTCTCCTGCTAATTGGTTTAATCTGATGGTACTCACCATTTAGCTGGTTATGATAACAACAATAGTATTACTGATGAATCTTTTTCCCTATCGAAATGCCTCGACCGGCTGTGTCCCGATTTGTGTTGGATCATAGTGATGAGGAACCCACTACCCCTGTTGGTGACGATATTCTGTTCCTATGCCGGACAGACTAAAGAGGACTATGATATTGACAGCTGACTAGATACTTTAGAAATACAAATAGAAAACCAATAAATGAAGTTAAAGAACAAGAACTTTTTTATTAATAAAGAAATAATGTAAGATACATTAAAATCCAAGTAGTTCGGCCCATTCAGTGTCCGATAGGCCTTTAACAGGCACATTTATCGGTTTTTCCACTTTCAATTCATCAGAAGACTTTTTTGGTGCGGGGACCATACGTTTTCTCCACATTTGTTCCCACCCTTCTCCTACGGGTTGGGACAAGTATCTCTCATATGCTTTCATCATATTTTCCACTAACTGTTCATTATCTGAAGGCCTTTCTTCTTGTGTATCTTCGTTGACTGGATCCACTTCCCCCATTTCGTTGTCTTGGGATTCCTTAAGTTCAAGTTTAATGTGTTGACCGCTCTGACATGGACGGAAATCTTACTAAGTTAATAACCCAATTGATAAAGGAGTGGCGTAATGCTAGTTAGATAGGGTTGGTTCAAAACTAAGGGGCTCCAACGGCCTACCACCCCGAATGTTACAAACAAACTATTTTACACATTTGCCACACAAAAACAACTTCTCAAAAACGTGTAAATTATTGTGAGATTAAACGACAATCTGCGAAGGACGGTCTTTCCTAGGCCATGACGTCATTTTTAAACTACAATAAGCCCATGTTTTTGGTTGCAATGCTTTTTATCTGACTTCAATGTTTATCAACTTATAATTATGATAGCATCCATGACTCAGAATTAGCCTGCACACAACAGTGCTTAAATTGAAAAATAGGCACGCACGGCGTACATGTTGCATGCCAACTGAAACTTAGAAGACCCTTATTAGATAATGATTAAGATGATGATTATAATTCATGTCTAGTCTACAGTTCGACCGTGTAACAAATTATGTGGTGGTCACGCTCATTGCTGGGCTGATGATCACTTTTTATTTTTAGTATTTATGAGTAACTTTTCCCTTAAAATATCTTTTGGTATCAGAACCAGATGTACTGTACAACAAAATTCCAAATCGTATCTTCAAGTACATCTATCATAATTATTATATTAATAAGTCTTTCACTCTGGTAAAACTTCAGAATACACAGCACCAGACAAATGCAAGAGCGGATATTATTAGAAATTGTTTACGAGTGTTGCGATTCACCAAGACATTGCGAGCTAGAGATTGACATTTTATTCTCAATATTTTCGATCTTTATTACAACTTAGCTGAATTGAACTCGCAAGCAAATGAAAGAATTACTATATACATCTTGTAAACAAAAATATGTACACACTGTATACTATAGCATATAATTATGGAAAACAAAGTAGAAACTACAAAACCAGCGCAATATTCAAGCCCTCGTGAGTCTGACCCCCTCAAAGCAAACAGCAATTCAGCAAGTATTTGACTATTTGGTGACAGCAAAATCACACGAAAATCAGTAAATTACAAGAAAAGCACAGGATATAATGCCGTTCAATCAAGAATGGCTACGCTTTTCTAATACCTTTGCAAATTTTCAGTGCTAATTCCTCGACGAAACCACGCAACAAATGATTCAAAATAAACAATTCCGGCTTACCAAACTGACATATCTGCAAAATGCCTGCAGATATCTGTCACATATCTGTCGAAGTCATGCTCACCATTCTCCCCAACAACTTAAGAATATATCCACACCGGGCGAGCTTGAAAAATATGCCCGGCCACGGTGGGATTCGAACCTACGACCTTTGGAACACTAGCCCAATGCTCTTCCAACTGAGCTACGCGGTCAGGACAGTTCGAGTAAGTGATATTTCGGAACAAAATCTAGTTCCTTCAATACCAATGTATTCTAGTAATATGAATTTTTTCTGTGTTGGTGTAGTGTACTCAGGTGAATATGACATTTGTGGTGTTACTCTGAGTGTATATCCACACCGGGCGAGCTTGAAAAATATGTCCGGCCACGGTGGGATTCGAACCTACGAGGTCGTAGGTTCGAATCCCACCGTGGCCGGGCATATTTTCCAAGCTCGCCCGGTGTGGATATACACTCAGAGTAACACCACAAAAATCATATTCACCTGAGTACACTACACCAACACAGAAAAAACTCAAGAATATTTCAGATCGTTCTCTATCAGTTATTCTTAATGGCAACATGCTTGCACAGGTGAAGCAAGCAAAAGTGTTGGGTTTAACGCTTGACGAGTTTTTAATTTTGACCAAGCATATTGACAACTTGTGTTTTTAACTAAGGACAGTGCTCTTCGTTTCTATAACTCCTGTATTAATTCAAGTCTTATCTACTGCTCTGTAACTTGGGGAAACTGCTCAAAAACACTTTTACTTCGCATTCTTCGACTGCAAAAGCGTGCAGCACGTATTTTTCTAGACGCTGACTTTTCTACTCCTTCTGTTATTCTTTTTTCCAAGATTCGAATAATCCCAATGTTTGATCTTGTTAAATTTAGGAAGCTTCTCTTACTAATTAACATTCTCACAAATCCCAGTGCTCCATCTTCATTTAAGCAAATGTTTAAATTCTTATCTTCTATTCGACAACTAGCCTCCTGCTCAGACGTTGTTAGTGGCCAATTAAGGCCCCACCTAACGTCTGCTCACATTCGCTACACATTTGACTTCCCGGCAATTAACCAATCACAATGATGTACGCGATAATTGGAACATCGACCTTCACTGACCTTCACATGCATGGTAAATTTATATCAACAAGTCTGTAGTGTTTTTAAATATAAAAGTTTTAATACTACGCATCAGGCTTTTCATTCTATTATAAACGAAACGTCGGATGTTTTCGCAGGAAATCACTTATTTATCACGCCGTTACCGAATGATTTGATGTAATATTCGGATTTAAATATTTAAACAAATTGTAAACGTGTAGACATTTAGTATTAATCGTGGTTTCGCCATTGATAAATTCAATGCGAGATCAAGTCAAAAAACTACACGATCTAGGAATCAGTACAGTGTCATTATTAAGTGGAATCGAGCAGTGATGAAGAAGCGAAGGCATTGGATCGAAGAAGGGAACTATTCTGTATTATATGGCACAGCATGCAGAATCATTGTTGAAGACATAGAAAGTGTATACTGTATAGCTGAATGGTTTTTCCTTTGGCTATTGATGCATGAAGCTCATGTCAGTATGTATTATAATAAATGCTAAACATGTGTTCGCATTTGTAATTCTCAAAGCCACAGGAATCGATCGGCTTTGGCGAAACCACGATTAATACTAAATGTCTACAGGTTTACAATTAGTTTAATTAAATATTTAAATCCGAATATTACATCGAATAGCATCGGTAACGACTAACAGCGTGATAAATAAGTGATATCCTGCGCCAGTTGCGAGATTAACGAAAACATCCTTCTTTTCGTTTATAATAGAATGAAAAGCTTGATGCGTAGTATTAAAACTTTTATATTTAAATAACCTGAGTATCAGGCTCTATTTTACAAATAGAGCCTGACACAAAACTTAACCTGATCGCTTTCCACCCACAGCAAAGTTTATATTTAGTATCCAATCAAAATGTCGCAGGAGAAATTTAAATTTGACACAACGACAACAACAATCTAATTATAGCATAGCAGCCCACTAAACGGCTGAATTTAAATTAAAACTGCAATGAACTTATAAAATTAACAAAAATAATCACAAATTAGCGAAACATATTGCAAATGTAGCTTATATTAAATTGCCACCCATCTGTGGCAACACATCTCTCCTCCGAAGAGGTTTCAGTGACTACAATGAGCTTTACATGGCGCTTAATACCGTATTTATCGACAAACTGACATATAATTATAAAGTATATATATATATTAAGTATACTTTATAACTATACGTCAGTTGATAGTGCAATCTGATGGCGATTTAATATAAGCTACATTTGCAATATATTTCGCTAATTTGCGATTATTTTCTAATTTTACTGCAGTTTTAATTTATATTCAGCCGTTTAGTGGGCCAGCTATAATTGTAGTTGTGATCGTTTAAATAAAATATATCAACAACAATAGTATAATCTAATTAGCACCAGCCAATGAAATGACAGATTTAAAATATCGTTTGTCTAATCGGCCAATCAGACGAAAAAGCCAGAATCTGGCTTTTTACATGCGCCGCGGTAAAGGGCATGTGCTAAAACCTGGACGATGGACGATGGACGATGGACGTCCATCGTCCAGGTTTTAGCATTTGTGCTAAAACCTGGACGATTTTTATTTAGCTACAGCCGTTTCAACAACTTCAGTCTCTAAATCCAGTCTCCGGCTATCACTTTGTCACTATAGACGGCATGTGCTAAAACCTGGACTGGACTATGGACTGGACTGGACTGGACTATGGACTGGACTGGACTGGACTATGGACTGGACTTGACTATGTACTGGACTGGACTATGGACTGGACTGGACTATGGACTGGACGCATTTGTGCTAAAACCTGGGATTTTTATTTAGCTACAGCCGTTTCAACGAATTCAGTCTCCGGCTATGACTTTGTCACTAAAGACACTACTATATACTATATGATCTTACTTACTGAAATTTTATTGACAGTTCATTAAATAGAAATTATACAAATTTACAACATTTTAGTCAATGTTACAATTCTCGACGTTTTCAATAATTAGCGTGCGTAAATAACCGGACCGATATTTTGTACTTGTAGAGAATGTTCTTCTCAAACTACGACATCTAGATCTATCTCTCACAATCCACAAAGCGTACCAAGAACTTAGAAGTACTGAAAAAGGTTAGTAAAATAGTTTTAAAACTTGATATTTAAGAGCTCGAAATCTCAAATAATATTTTGCAATTCTAGATTCCCCTTACTATGTTTTCATAGCGCTTTCCAATGTGGTTATAGTGGTATCACTGATAAAGATAGCGGCCTCGAATGAAAATATTGAATGTTTTCGCGAATATTTTGCTGGTGGCTATCGCGCACCCGACCCTACCTTTTTTAAAAGTTCTTGCACGGGTCAGGACAAATAATAAGCCATTGAATATCTGTGATACCACTATAAGGGAAGCCTCACATATCGATTGTGTCCATGAGAATCGTCATATGTTCGTTTCTCTGGAGACCCCCCCCCCCCTCTAGAAACGTCACACATAGTTATCGATATTTTGTTCTTATAGCACACATAAGGTAATTTCACCATTTTCTATGGTCGGCTATTGGCGATGCTTTCGTGAAAAATATGTCATCAAAATTTCCAACGTTTCTCAAAACAACTTTTTTGCATGAAATATTATAGTTTTAGCGCGTTTTTCTTGAAATTTGAGAGTTTTCAATGCAAGCCAGGCGTAATAATATAAATGTATACGTATATAGAACAGGTATGGTATTACGTATGTAATTTTTTTATTCTGCAAAGATGATTCCGAAATGTTAAGGCTTTCGAAAGTTTTATCGAATTTTCCCATGGTGTTTACTGAGAAACGTCACAGCTGAAACCCC